GATCACTGCCCTAACCAGCCCCATCCCCTGCTTACCCCCGATCCCCCCGATCGTTACTCCACCCAGCCCCAGCATCGTGGCAATTAAAAAAAAAAAGCCCCGCACTCACCAGCAGTAGCCACAGCTGCCGGGGTCACTGGGCCTCCCAGCCAATATATGGGGCTGCAGGGGGGAGGGTACCATGGGGAAACCCGTGCTGGCCCCATTCCCTGGCTGCCACCCAAGCTGCCCCCCATCGCTAGGCCCCAGCCTAGCCCGGCCCTAGCCCGGCCCCAGCATCCCAGCAAAAGAAAAAAGAAGCCTTGCACTCGCTGGCAGTAGCAGCTGCCATTGGGGTCTCTGGGGCCTTGTGGCAGAGCTGTCCCACACAGCACAGGGCAGCGGGGGATATCAGGGACTGGCCCTGCCCACCTGGTACCCACACTGCCACTGCCCCATTGTGTGGGTGCAGCCCTGGTCAGCAGGGCACTGCACAGTTCTGTTGGCTACAAATGTCCAACTTGGGATCCTTAAAATTCTGGTTTATTAGGTGGATTGAAACACTGTAATGAAGTTAACTCATAAACCTTGGGGCTGGTCCCCACACACACACACACACACACACACACACACACACACGCACACACGCACACACGCACACATGCACACATACAGTAGCAAGCTGCAAGAGTCCGGTATACCTATCCTACAAGCGCTGGAGTCTGCCGTCGATGGCCAGTCGAGGCTTCTTTCAGTGTGGTGTTATCCTCCTGAAAGGGGGTCGCCGGCTGGTCCTTCTGGCTGGACAGGTCTGGTCGAGTTGGAGGTCAAGAGGGCGCCACTGAGGGTCACTTTTCACTGCTTTTTTGTCCTTGGCAGACTTTGGTGACTCCCCAGTTTTCAGGTTTGCCCAATCCAGGGGTCATGTACCCTCGTGGGACTTCCCCCCGCGGTGGCTACTGGACGGCATCTGTCAGCCCCAGGGGTCGTCCGCATGTACGTGCAGGTTTGGGAGTCTGTTGGTGAATTTTGAATAGGGCTCTGGGAGCGGTTGATCTGGAGATATTCAGCCCAAAAGTTGGTCCGCGGTGTTGATTAACTCAGGGCAGGGCTTCTAGCCCTTGATCAGTGAGGTTTAGAGATTTCCTGGTTGTTACATTGTCTTCTATTGAGTTTTTCCATTGGTTGATCTGCAGTTTTCTTAGGTGTTAATTGCTTCCTGCTACCGTGTTACACATTCAATCACTGATTCACTCGCTCTTTCA